CCCCAAAGTATCCTCGTGCCCAAAGGAACACGACAAACTTCAAATTAAAAAAAATGACACAGTCAGTCCGGTGAATCCATGGAGGAAAGAAAAAGTTCCATCCTGCTTTTTGAACAAAGGTCCCCCATTTTGCACTGAGCCCCACAGATCACTTAGTGAGGTCACTCCCTCCTGGCTCCGTCCCTCCTGGGATCCAAACTGTCTGGGCTCCCTGGAGAGTCACTGTAAGAGAGGACTCTGGGCCCCCATCTCGGGCCCTACCCCTGACTCTTTGCACCCTTCTGGACATACTCAGCACCCCAGAGGATCTGCTGGGGCCACCTCCTCCGGGAAGCCCCCAGGTGTCCCAGTGCTTTGTTGAGGCTTCAGAATGCTCTTTCCGGACCCTCGGCTGGGACCCCACAGAGCGGGGGCTGCTCCTGGTTCACATGGCACCTCTGAGGCCCAGCATGTTCTGGACGGACTGGGGGCTCAGTAAACAAAGGGCTGGACTTGTGTGGCCGCTCCTGGAGCCAAGGGGTCCTCCGCTCTCCGGAGGCAGAGCTCCTTGCTGGCATGCTGATTCCTCCAGGGTCCCCACCCACACGCACTGCCCCCTGGGGCCCCGGCTGGGGAAGGGGTGCTACAGAAACCTGTGTTTTAGTAGACGGTCTTTCTACCAGAGCCTTCTGGATGTCTGGGGAGAAGCTTGGAAACAGGAAAACAGGCATGTTTCTACCAGATACCGAGGAGAGGCAGCGGAACACAGCAAGTCGCAGGCTCAGGGCAAAGAAGAGATCCAGGGCTGGGGAGGGACACTGGGGGGTCATGGGGTGGACCAGGTGGGGGGTGCTGGCAGTCGAACAGTCACGCCGGCAGCCGGGCACTGTCCCATCCAGGAAAGCGTCTGCCGCAGAGCTCAGAAGCACGGGGACCTCAGCCAGAGGGGTCATCTGGCCAGCTTGGCGGTCACTGGCCAGGCCCAGAAGAGGACCAGGCCCCAGAGAGCAACCCCAGCAGCAGCCAGCCCCTTGTCTTAAGCTTCCTGCCCAGCCCAGGGCAGACGACAGCTTTCTCTGCCCCAGGCCCAGGGGCTGGACATTCGGGGAAAACATCCTCCTGCCAACACCTGGGGGTCAGCAGGTAGGAAGCTGGACCCCAAAACGGGCTTCTTCATTTCCTTGTCCTTCTTTCTCGGCCAGACGCCCTAAGCATGCTCGCGCCGAGGCTTGAAGTTCCAGTACGGGCACCCAGGAAGTGTGTAGGCCTCTCTGACTCTCAGTTCCACAAGAGGCTCCTTTCCACCCAAATATGGAACAAGGACGGGGGCATGAGAAGCCTGGCGTGGCTGAGAAGTGAGCCCGCCACGGGAGCTCCCGGGAAACGCGGCCCCGAGGCCCGACGGGTGGCCGAGCTACCGCTCAGAGTGCCACAGTCTCGTCAGCGTCCCAGCGACCCTGTGGGGCAGGGATGGAGCCCTCAGCCTGGCTCACCAGGCGGGCGCTCAGAGGCTGGGGTGGCTTCCTCAGCCCGCGGCTGCAGACAAGGCACGATTGCTGCCCCAAGCTCGGCCACAGACCCACACACGTGCATGGAGCAGACCCCCTGCCTGGCAGTCCGGGGGCGGGGGGGAATGGGGGGGGCCCTAAGGAACAAGGGGGAAAGCATCAAAGCCCAGACCCCTCCGGCCAGGTGCAGGGGCGCCCCAGCGGGCCCCTACACGGACAGCCAGGGCACGAGGGCCGCTGAGCTCTGGGGTGACCGAGAGCCGTGGGTCGGGTGTTCAAAACTTGGAGGACGCAGGCGCAGCAGCTGGCTTGGCTCTCGGGCCTGCGGGGCAGACAGACAGCTGTCCGGGAGGCGGGAGCTGGGTGGCATTCCAGGCATTTCAGCACCTCTATAAAACCCGGCCTGCTCCACGGCCCAAGGGGGCGAGGGAAGGGGGCGCGGGCGGTGGGCTCCCTCTCCCCCTGCGGCTGCCGCACCATTACCCGCCTGTGGGGTCCCACCGGGGCCAGCGCCATCTGCTGGGCAGAGGAGGGATGCCGCCTCGGGCTGGGCGGGGAGGACAGGCCATCCTGAGACCCCCCAGCACTGCGCCAGTAACCTGCTACTCTCTGGGCCTCAGTCTGCCGCCCCGTAAAATGGGGAGAGCAGAGACGGCAGCCCCCACCCCCACCCCCCAGCTGCTGACGGGACCCGACAGGACAAAGCAGCAAGAGTGCTTGGCACAGGGCCCTACACACAGCCGGGGCTTTATCCACGTCTGCGTGTGTGCGAGCGGCCCTCAGACGCACACAGTGTGGCGGGGGTTAGAAGGGAGAGACCTCCCCCCGGCAGGGGTCAGGAGAGGCTGAGGGCTACAGGAGGAAAGGAGGAAGCACAAGCAGTGAGTGTCCAGGCAGAAGGAGGGTGTGCGGCCTGTGGGCTCGGGTGTGGCCAGAACTAGAGCAGGTGGCCGCTGGGGGTGGCGGGCTGGGGGTGGCCACAGCAGGCCGGCAGGCGGAGGTCACAGGAAGGTGGGGAGGACGGGGACAGGCTGCACATTGGTCACTCCAGCCCGTGGGTGGATCCGGCCCAGGTGGGGTGGGCTCCCAGCCCCCCCCCGTCCTACCCCCCCCCCCCGCCACTTCTCTGCTCCCTTGAATCGGCCGGCCAGGGTCTCCCACTCAGCCTCCCCCTCTCCCAGCCCCCAGGCCCGTGGCTTCGCCAGCTGCAGGGAGAGCCGAGGGTCATTTCAGTCCTGTTCAGAGCTGGACGCCCTCCCCCAAGCCAGCTGGTCGATCTCCAGGCGGCCAGGTCTCGGAGAGAGCCACACGCGCGCTGTCCCCACCTCCACGCTGGCCTGGGACTTCCGGCCGGTCTGCAGCGGCTCCCCAGGCTGCCCCAGGCCCAGTCACCTGTCTCCCCACGTTGGGGCAGCCCCCACTCCGCCCCCTTCTGCTTTAATCACTGCAACACATGTCCAACCAACCGCACCCCTGCCTTCCTCCGACACCTCCCCCTTCTCTTTTTCCCTTTCCCAAGTTTACAGCCCTGGCCCTGGAGTTTACAGCTGCAAAGAAAACACACACACTCATGCACAAAACCAACTGTGGAATGTCTTCCTGCCTCTGCGCGGGGTTTGTGGCTCCAGAGGGTTCTCTGAGCATCTGACGTCTACTCACATTTCCACACCACGGGGTTTGTATTCCTCCTGGGAGGGGGGCTGGGAGCTGGGTGCGGGCAGGAGCGGAGGGGTGAAGAGGTGGGCAGGGAGAGCAGGCCTCTGGGACTGCCCACATGGGGTTGCCCACCTCCTGCCCTGCCCAGAGCTGCACGCGGAGCAGGATCTGGTTTTCCCATTTGGAGAGGGAACGGGGCTCCTCAGTGCCAGACTGAAATGTGTGGGAGCCTGGCCTCCCTGGACTTTCATTCATTCTTTGAACAAAGTCATTCATTCAGCCAGTGTTTGTCGAACACCTACGGTGTGCCAGATTCGGGCCCAGCACAGGAGCACCTCAGTTTGCCTGGGCACCAGGCCGGGGGACAGCCCTCCCCACAGACGGTGCTATCGAGCCAATGGCCAGAAAGAGGAGGAGGAGGAACTATGTTCTTGTGGTGGGGTGGGGGGCGGGGGATAGGAGGAGAGACGGGGTCTGAGAGTGTGGTGGAGACCCGCGTGTGCGGTGGGCCGAAGGGGCCGGACCACGGATGGCCTGGTGTTCTCCTCGACCCTTGGACTCTTCCCCAGGGATGGTAGCCGCCTTGGAAGGCACCGAAGCGGAAAAATGGTGTGACCAAATGCATTGTTGCAGAAAGGGCTCCTGTCACTTGTGTTCCTGCTGTCCCTATGTGGTCGCCCTCGGCGTCCAGCTCTCAAGAGAACAGAAGCGTGGCCGTCCACGTGGTAGAACCCCACTCGCCTGGCAACCAAAGAAACCGCCTCACACAATGTGGGTGACTCTCAGGGATGCTCTGTCGCTGGAGCAGAAGTCAGACCCCAAGTGCACACCACATGGTCCCATTTGTGCGGAATTCTGGAACAGGCCAAGTCAGGCGTGCGGCAGAGCAGCGCTTGCTTACGCTGGCCAAGGGCGTGAGGGGTCACCCTGGGCCGATGGGGAGACATGGTGGTCCCATACCTATGTGCACTTGTCAGAACTCATCCAACTGTACTTCCAATCCAGGCACTTTGTCGTATGTGAATTATATCAGGATGAAAAAAGAGTAGAACTAAAGATGGTTCTTGGGCAGAAAGCAGATCAGTCAGGAAGCGAGCGACCAGGCCGGAGAGAGTCTGCCTGGGTAGCTCACCATCGCCGTGATTCCCGGGCCAGAGGACAAGGGGACACCCTGGCAGACAGCGCCCCTAAAACCTCTTACAACAAGGGAAGGGCGTTTCCCCAAGGCCAGCGGAGGGAGGCTGCCACGCCAGCTCCAGGAGAGATGGACGGCCCTGCCACTCGCTACAAATGCGAAACGACGTAACCGAGGAGAACACACTGTCTCATTAGTCCAGTTGTCAAGGAAACCCGGCTGGGGAAAGAGCAGGCGGGACCTGGCGTGGGCTGGCAAAGCACCGTGCTGGTCGGCGATGAGAATCGCCTACACCTTGTCCTCCCGCCGCCTGCAGACACGGGACTCCAGCAGCAGAGACCACTGGCGCACTCCCTCTGGGCTCCCTGGGGCCCGGGGGAGAGGGCCAGGACCGAAAGAGGCTGCACGCTGAGGGTTCTCCTCATGGCCACTTTACTCCGAGGTTGTTGCCTCAAAGAAAAGAAGCGTGGTCTCCTGGAACCGACAGCTCTGGTCTCTCGAGAAAAAAAAAAAAATCAGAGACAAGTGTGGGTCACATGGCATCTCAGCTGTTGGGCCCCGTCCATGGGCTCTCACATGTGCACTCCTGCCCCTGCCTCCCTCCAGGGCGTTCAAACCACAGCTGCCTTCAGAGCCCCCGTTCAAGGGAGCAGGCCTCGGCCCTTTGGTTTCCTCCGACCTGGGGACCCGGGAGGCCTGCGCCCTCCCCTGCACCCCGGCCCATGGGGACACTCGCGGCGAAACTTCTCCTGCCGACCCTCAGCAGCCTGGTCTTCCTCCCCGCCGTCAGCATCGCTGCCAGGCGGCGGTTCCACATGGAGGCCATGGTCTACCTCTTCACCATGTTCTTTGTGGCGGTGAGTCTGGGCCACTGGCCCAAAGGCACAGGGACACAGGGAAGGAGCCATCTCTCCACCACCTTCCCACACCAGGGAGGAAGAAAAGTGATTTGGAGGAGAAGGAAAGAGCCTGGAGACCAGGAGAGAGGGTTGGGGGCCCCCCTCCTCCTCTCTGGACCTCAGTTTCCCCGTCTGGGTCAGGAAGTCACCCTAGGATTGGTGTGCACAAGACCAAGCCCGCGGTGGGTCAGCGTCGGTTGGTCCAGGACGAGCCCTTCGAGTCTTCTGGGGTGACCCTCCTTTTGCCGCCGACAGACCACCCCAGGCCACCCACTTCCCCCCGACCCCACCCCCGCTCAGGCCACTCTCCCAGCTACAAGTACAGGGCAGCGGAGCAGGGAGGAAGGGGCTGAGCCAGGCCTGGGAGGGGGTTAGTGGAGTTTAGGGAATGTGGAGGGCCTGGGTGATTCTGATTCCAGAATTCCGGAGCTGGCCCTGGTTCAGGAGGGCCTGCTCATGTCTGCTTGTCTGTCCTTCTCAGAGGCCTGTGTCTCCCTCTGAGTCCTTCTTCCTCCATGCACAGGCCTGATGACTGTCTGTCTCTCCCCTCCCTCCCTCCCAGCAGCACGCTCTCCCTCTGCATTTTTCCTATTGGTTTTCTCCACATTTGCTTTTTTCCCTTTTTAAATGTCTGTGTCTGGGTCCCTCTTGATTTCTGGAGCTCCATAGTCTCCATAGAACTTGCTCTCGTCCCAAACCTCCTGGTCTTTCCCCGTCTGGCTTTGTCCCCCTGGCCCTCCACGTGTCTCTGTGGCTCTATCTCCTGTCCTGAAGCTTCTGTCTGTCTGTGGGTCCTACCTTCCTACCTATGTACCTCTCTCTCTAATCCATCATCGCTCGACCTACCTAATCAATGACCCATCCCTCTACCCATCACCGATCTGTGTCTCAGGGCCGACCTGTGTCCCTCTGAGTCCTCCCCCGCCACGGTCTGCCGCACCAGCTCCCATCAGACTCGCCTTCTCCGCAGCCCGGCTCCCTGCAAAAGCTGGCACCAGGGAGACGAGTGTCCCCAGCCACCGCCTTGTGGCAGCGCCAGACGTGTGAAAACTCACACGGCTCCCACCGCCGGCTGGCCTTGCTCCAGCAGCCAGGCCTCTGTGGGCGAGTGTCGGGGTCCTTGGGGCAGCCCTGGGCAGGTAGGTCTGTGAACACACGCACGTGTTCGCAGACACGCGTGCACCTGTCATGGGAGAGGTTGTGTGCACGTGGGCTGGTGCTCCCTTAGGCAGCAGGGACCTGGGACTGGGGGTTGCCTGGTGTTTCTGTCTCCACACCTGGGTGGGAGAGATCTTGGGCGTGGTGGTTCTGGCTGTGGGCCAGTGTCCAGGCTCTGGGCCATGCCCGTGCTGTGGATGCACTGTCTCATGTAGTCCTCTCAGCTCCCCGTGAGCCAGGGATTGTGACCAGCCCATTGGACAGATGAAGAAACTGAGTGTCACAGATGCGCTCTGGGGCTCTCGGCTCATTCAAGGCATCTTGTCCAATGCCATTTCGTCAGCTCCACAAGGGAGCCCTGCTTGGGTGAGTTCCAGGAAGTCAATTTGACAGATGAGAAACCCAGACACAGAGTGGACCTGGGACTTCTCTGCAGGTCCAAGGGGCTTAGGGCCGGGGCGAGGAGCTGGGGGTCTTGTTCCCAGGTCTATGTTAGACCCAGCCCCGGAAACCACAGACATGCCGGGCCACCCCTCCCCGCTGGGCTGGGCTGGCCCCCAGCTGCCTCCAGACTGACCTAAGAGGCCCACCCTGTCCCGCCCTAGCCCGCCCAGAGTGGCAGAAGCAGCTGCCTCCCGTGACAAATGTCCTCCCACCTCAAAGCCCCACTCAGCCCCTTTCTCCCAGAGCCCCAAGCAACACCATTGCCCCTTCTGCCTCCAATGTGGCTTCTTCCGTGTTCTGGCCAGAATCCTCCTGCCACAGTCGCTACTTCTGTGTCCAACACTGTGCATCTGCCCCGTCACACAGAGTCCCCTGGCCCGCCCCAGAGAGCGGGTATTCTCGTCCCTCGACAGAGGAGGCCCCAAGCTGCCGCCATCCGCCTAAGCTCACAAAGCAGGGATCCTTTAGGTGGGCCTCTGGAGGCTGTGCTATCTCCCAGCAGACCCCCGGCGCACTCCACCCCTGCTAGCCCCCTCACGGGCCAAGTGCGCCCCTGCATCGAGAGAGGCAGGCTTCACAGGCAGGGAGGCTGGATGCCAGTCACTGCTCTGCCCGGCCCCCTTGGCAGGTGGCACTGCTCTGAGTCTCCCCTTCCCCACCTGTCTGATCGAGACGAACCAAGGGCCTTGGGGGAGACGCCTCCTGGGTCAGCTCTCCTCCCGACCACTCCAAAGCCTGCCTCCCTGACCCTGGGTTTGCCTGGCCAGGCTGAGACAGAGCTCTCCTGCCCTTCACGGGGCCGAGGAGGACACTCCCGAGCACCTCACAGTCTATGATCATACACGGTGATCTGTCCCACAAAGGAGAGGCAGGGAGCAGAAACCCCAGAGGACCGGGATGGGCAGTGTGGGGAGGGATGTAGTTCCAGAAGTAGCAGGAGAATAGCCAGGTCACTCACAGGGCCTAGCTCTGCCTGCCAGCACCGTGCGCATCAAGAGTCCTTCTCCTTGCCCTATCCCCAAGGTCTGAGCACCTTGATCAGACCCTACCTGAAGCTTATATTTCCCCAGCTAGACAGTCATGTCCACAGCCTAGTTGCTCTCCTCCATCCTCTCTCCCTGTGTCACCTCAAAGGGTGCAGCATACAAAGTTCAACCCTGTTCTCTTGATGGGTCTGACCAGGGTGCAGAGAAGTGGGACTGTCACCTCCCTCGTTCTGGACACTATACCTCTATTCATGCCTCCTGGGTGCACGCTTGCTTTCGGTCACCTATGATTGTGACCAATAGGAGCTCTAAGCCAAGCCCGACTTGCTTGACTCACCAGGCGATGCAGGGCTCCTGCTCCCCCTGTAACATCCCTGGGCCTCCAGACTTGGGCTGATCTCCTGGATGCCTCCTCCCTCCTGCTGAGCTGGGCTCACCAAGAATTGATTGTGCTGGTTCCCAAACTCGTTTACACCCTTGGGACTTGTCAGAATAATTACATCACATAATTAAATATCACTTAAAGTGATGAAATGTGTAGGCAAAAGGAGAGAGCTGTTGTTTTCTGTAAGAATTCAGTTGACTGCTTTGAGAATACTCCACAGAGGTATTCTGTCTTAAAAATTGCTATTAAAGGGCTCCTGGGTGGCTCAGTCAGTTAAGCGTCTGCCTTTGGCTCAGGTCACGATCCCAGGGCCCTGGGATCGAGTCCCATGTCGGGCTCCCTGCTCCATGGGGAGCCTGCTTCTCCCTCTCCTTCTCCCCCTACTCATGTTCTCTCTCTGTCAAATAAATAAATATAATATTTTTTAAATTGCTATTAAATAGGGTGTTGGGGAGACTACAGGAGAGAGACGGGAGAACGTGCCATGCCGTGTTCAACACGGGGGTCTCCGCAGTCTCCCAGGACCTTAAGGAAACTGGAACTAAACAATGACAGGCCGGAGGTTCCCAAAGTGGGCTCCACAAGGGTAGCTGTCAGCGCCCCAGGAAACTCCTAACCGCGCGAACCTCGGAAGCCACCCAGCCCTGCGGGGGGGGCAGCGCGAGTCCCCGCCAGCCCTCCCCCGCAGGGTTCTGGTGCCCACTCACATCTGACGACTGCCCCGCTGGGACGGCCACTCACGACAGAAGGCCCTCCCAGGCCCCTGTAGGGCTGACTGGCATCCAAGACCTAGGCCGCAGCCTTGTACCCAAAGACGCGGAGGGAACGCACACGCACCTGCTCTGGGTAAACTCCGGTGCTGAAGGAACGTGCAGGGCACGTCTTCGGGGCCCCGCCCCGGTGGGCTTCATGGAGTGATGCCTGGACTCCATGTGGTCGTGTCATACACACACCGGGAGAGACCCAGCCGGGCTCTGAGCACATCCGAGGCTCCCGGCCCCTCACGGGAACGTTTTGTCGAATCCCCACAAGACACCATGAGGGGAGTGGTTGGCGGCACCTCCATTTTTCAGGTGGGGAAACTGAGGCACGAAATGACGTGCCTGAGTCTCGCGGCTAGTGAGTGGCCTGGCTGGCGGGGAGTGGCGGGGGCCGGGCACAGCTGGGGCCTGTGCCGTCCCCTCCAGCCCCTGACCACCGCGGTTTCCCAGCAGCTGTACCACGCCTGCGACGGGCCCGGCCTGTCGGTGGTCTGCTTCATGCGCCATGACGTCCTGGAGTACTTCAGCGTCTACGGGACAGCACTGAGCATGTGGGTCTCGCTGATGGGTGAGTGGCCGCGCCCTGTCGCCCAGTGTCCCCACCCCACCATCCACCTGCAGCTCCCAGAAATAGCCAAGCCCGCTGACTCTGCCCCCCCCAACACAGGGAGCGTCTCTCCCCTCTCCTGGGGTTCGAAGCCCGGTTTAATCGATGAGACGGGACGCACCGTCCTTAAACGCCCTGATTCCCATCCTTGCTTCCTGTTCAATTCCCACGTGAACGAGGGCTTGTTCGGAGCTCCTCACGAATCACGTGGCGGAGCCGTGCCTGGAACCCGTGGCTGGGCTTCCAGCTCCCCCCGCCCAGGAGACCGCTGTTGCACACCAGGGTTTGCCCCCAAGGCATTTCTTGAGGCCCTTACCAGCCGCCGTGCCCACCACTGTCAGCTCAGGCTTTTACGAGGATGGAATTGCTCAAAAGCGTAGTTTCTGCAACTTTCTTCTCACTTAGCGCCGTCTGGAGGCGACGTCAGGACACACGGGCCCCATCGCACGGGCTCCCTGGTATTCGCCCAGCTTCCGTGAAGGACTCACACCTTTCCTGTCTCTTACCTGCATGTCTCTGTCTTCACTCCTGGGGCTCTCAGGGGCAGGTGTGCAATGCCCTGCCCGTGACCCCCACACAGCTCTGTCCACCTCTGTACCTTAGACCCAGCCGGTCAGACCTCCGGGTGACTGGGCTGGGCCCAGGGGGTCTCTCTGGCTGGGGTGCCTAAGGGATGCGTCTGGGGGAGCAGTGGCCGGGAGGAGCAGAGGGGCTGCTCACCCCTCCCGGTTCCTCCCCCACCTCCAGCGCTGGCCGACTTTGACGAACCTAAGAGGTCGACCTTCGTGATGTTTGGTGTCCTGACCATCGCGGTGCGGATCTACCATGACCGCTGGGGCTATGGGGTGTACTCGGGCCCCATCGGCACGGCTGTCCTCATCATTGCCACAAAGTGGGTGCGTACCATGCGAACCTCAGAGGACAGGGACGCCCGCCCCCATGACACCTCCACCTCGGGGTCTCCGTTTATGTCCCGTCTCAGGGCTTCCGCTAGAGCACAGAGACGAGGAACACCAGGCCCCCGGCCACACGGACCGTCTGTATCGTCCGTACCCACTAGCTCTGGACCTAACCCAAGTGACTCCACTTCTCTGCCTCGGTTTCCATGTCTGGAAACTGGCTGTTACGGGAACAGTTCAGTACCTGCTTCATAGGTTTGGTTCAAAGAAGTTGAGTTAATGTATCTAAAAGTGTTGGCATAGAACTTGGCTTCTAACATGCTCGACACGTGGGAGCAACAACCACCATCATTATTACTCTTTGCAGAGAATGACTGCTTTAGAGTTGCGAAAGCCTGGATTATTCTAGGAGGACTTCACGGAGGCGGAGAGCCTTGAGGAGGGAGGCTGTGGTGTGTAGTGGACAGGAAGTTGGAACAGCCCCTAAGCGTTGAAGCAGCCTGAGCCAGACTCTGGAACGCTGACATGTCTTCACTGGGTCCCCTGGGGGTCCTGACGCACTGTCCCCAGGCCTCCCCACAGCTCTCTTGTACCAAGGCCCTCCTGGCTGTGAGGCCTGAAAGCCACTCACGCTTCCCGAGCTGACAAGGGATGCCAGAGCAGAGTGGACCCAGGGGCACTTCCTGGGACCCCAGAAGGGAAGGAGCTGAACCCTGCAGGGACCAGAACACAGGCCCGGCCTGCTGGCAGGCCTGAGGCTGGACCCACTCTCCAGCCATGCAGCAGCGCAGGCCCCGAGGTGACCTCCTCCCTCTGCCACATTTTCGCCCCTTTGGAGCTCCACCTGGAATCTCGGGGTGTCCCAACTCCATGTGCTGGCACACACCCACTCAAGGACCCAAAATTAAGGCCCAGATGGCAGGGCCTCAGGGGATGGGGTGAAGGGGCTTCAGGCCACCTCGGGAGCGGGAGGGCAGTTCTCTGGGAACAGGGGTCAGGCTGGGCAGGTGGCGCAGAAGGTGTCCATCAACCCATTTTACAGCTGCGGGAGGGAAAATAAAGTCCTGCTCCTCCCACAGCAGGGAGTAGAGGGCTTGTCCTGCCGTTCGGTTAATGAAGGAAGTAGGGCTCAGAGAGGTCAGCGAGCGACAAGAAGTCGCACGGCGCCGGGTGACGTCGGGCCTTGACTTCCCAAAGAAAGGAAGGAGCCTCTCTCCCCCTCCAGCCTCCCCGAGGGGGGAGGCTGACACAAAAGGCCCCCGAAGCTGCCTGTGAGAGCAGGGAGGCCTGTTGGGTCTGCCGTGTCCCGGGAGGGACCGCGTTAATGAACGCGCCGGAATGCATAAACACAGAGCCCGGGGGGCGATAGTGCAGGCTCACTCCCCAGCAGGAAGTGGGCCAGGCTGCCCTGGGAGGCTGTTCCTCCCGCAGAACTTGGCAGGCCTGGATCTGTGTTTGATTGTAATTAGCCAGAATGGAAGCCACTCGCCAGTTTCCGTGGAAAGCGCCACAGCGACTTCCACGGCCCTCGGGCTGTGGATCCAACCACGGGAACCAAGAGGTCTGCCTGGCTCCCTACATCTGGGGCTCAACTTGTGTTTTTCAGACCATTTAACGTGGAGTTTATTTTGGATTTTCAAGGGCAGTTTCTCCCTGGAATGAGGGTGGATTTTTCTCCCAGAGGCTCGTCCCTTCTTGAGCCTGAGTTGGGAACAGCAGCCCTCAGGGAGGGGAAGCAGAGAGAGGCGGGTGTGGGGACCACGGGGCAGGGCCTGGCCAGTCTAGGACGTGACCCTGGGCAGGCGCAGGGCCGTGGCCAACCACACCCAGACCCCACAACCGCGCCCACCTGCCATCTGTGCCCACGCGGGGCCTGATGTTTTATCAGCAATGGCAAATTCCAGAAAACCGCACCCCAGACTCTGGTGGGCCAGCCCGCCCCGACTGGCACGGGGCTCCCACCCAGCAGGTGTGTGTGGTTGTGGGGGCCCCAGCCCTGCCGGGGAGGGGTCCACGATCCACGGTGTGCATTGTGCTGAGATCCCAAACAGCGGCACTCTGAGACACCTTGGCCCCAGGGGTGGGAAGGTGCAGGATGCGGTCCCACGTTTACTGCACGTTGTCAATGTACGTGAACCCATCTTTGTATGAGTCAGTGCCGGCTCACGCCTCCCACTAACGTGCACATCCGGGCAAGCAGAGAGTCCCGTGCCAGCCGGCTTATCCCAGGAGCACGACGTGGGTCCTGATCCACGAGCCACCGAAGGGTTTGTTGGACCACAACACGGGCATCCCCGTGGGCCACATGGTGGGCGGGCCAAGCCCTCCAACACCCCCTCGCTGAATCTGGTCCCCTGGGGGTCCCTGCTGCTCAGCAGGGGTGCGTGTGCAAGGGTTATCTTGTTAGCCCAAAGAGGCAGGCAGGGATGGGGGGCGGTCCTCACTGGGCAAACTGGTCCAGGGGTTCCCAACCAAGCCATCCAGGATGGGGCTCCCTTGGGGCCTGCCGCCACGGGACCAGGCACGTAGGGCACCTCCCTGAGCCCCATCCCCCACCTGAGGGTAGCCAAGGAACGCGTGGGTGCCTGGGGCCAGCCCTCCAGCCAGCTCTGAATGGCCTCCCTGCCGTGGGACCTCTCTGCCCGGCCACTCTCCCCACAGCTGCAACAGATGAAGGAGAAGAAGGGTCTGTACCCCGACAAGAGTGTCTACACCCAGCAGATCGGCCCCGGCCTCTGCTTCGGGGCACTGGCTCTCATGCTGCGCTTCTTCTTCGAGGTACGGGGACCGGGGCTCCTCGGGGGCTTCCACAGCGTCCCCTTGCTGTCTTCTCTGTCCCTCCTGGTGGGTGGAGGGAGGTCTCCCTCCCACCACAACACCGCCCATCCCCAGCACCCCAGCTCTCGCTGTCTGCGGGGATCTGAGATGAGGCACCCAGCCAGGATGGGGCCTGGGGCTGGAGCACGCACCTACAGGAAGCGGGGGCGGGGGGGGGAGCCCGGCCTCATTGTCAAAGGCCCAGCAGCCGAACTTCCACTCTCCACCTTCAGCACTCCAGGGGGCTGAGGTCAGGAAAAACTGCCCATGGGCTGGACGCTGAGGAGAGGCCCCTTAGAGGAGGCTACTTGGCCAGATGCAGGGTGGGGGGTGACCGGCAGGTGCCCCGGCACATCAGGCATGTGAGCAGAGGCACAGAGGGTTGGGGGGAGCCTGGGGCCGCAGACCAATCCCCCCCTTCCCGCCCCTGCAGGACTGGGATTACACCTATGTTCACAGCTTCTACCACTGTGCCCTGGCCATGTCCTTTGTCCTCCTGCTACCCAAGGTCAACAAGAAGGCCGGAAGTGCAGGGCCCCCCGCCAAGCTGGACTGCTCTACCCTTTGCTGTGCTTGTATCTGACATTGCCACCTGCCCCTGTCCCCATCTCCCCCACAAGCCCCTGCCCTCCCCCTCATCTCACGCCCCAGGAGTGCCCAGGAGAAACGTCTCTCCTCTGAGCCTGAGAGGTCCCCAGGGATTTGGGGACCACCCTGAGTGCTCCTGGAGACCCCAGGTACTAGGTTTCCACTTTGGCCAAACATCATGCTGGAAAGAAAAGACCTTCCTCCCTCCTCCCCCACCCTCCTCCTCCTCCTCCTGCTTCTCCATAGTCATGGCCAACAGGTGTGTCTACAGAAGCCTGGAACCTGTGTGTCCCCCTCATCGGCCCTCCCCTCGTCACCCAGAAGCTCCGGCCCAGCCCCGGCCGCGCCCCTACTCGCAGCATCAGTTTTCTCTTGGAAACTAGCGTCCCCACTTATGTCCTGTGCCCTCCGGCTCCGAACACACCCGGTCGGAATTCCTGAGGCCAGAAGAGGGGCAGCTCTGTCCCTGGCCCAGGCCCGTGTGGCCAGCCCTCCAGCCAGGTCCCTGAATCAAGCCATTTCAGGAACGGAGACCCCTATGAAACTCCCCAATGCCTTGGCCTTACTGGGTTCCCAAAGCTGTGTACTCAGCCCTTGATCTAATCCATCAGACAAGTCTGCAGTAAAGCACGGTCATTCCACTCTAAAGACAGAAGCCTGAGGCTCGGAGGAAATGGTGGGCTTGAGGCCCCAAGCCAGTAAGGGCAGAGCTGGGCCCCAAGCCCAGTCCACCGGTCCCAGAGCCATGCCTGCCACCTGACTCGGGAACCACCCCACGGGCAGGCCTGAGCACCTGTGTGGGTCCTCGGAGCACTCCCAGCACTCCCAGCACTCCGCCCGGGCTCAGAGCCAGTGTGGGGAGGGGGTCTGGGTGCAGGGAAACCTGAGCGGAGGCCAGCGGCCCACAGCTGGACACCCAGGGCCGGCTGGCAGTGGGAGGCCAGCGAGCCCCGGCCCAGAGCCTGTCTGCACTGAGCCCCGGGGGTGGCGGGAGCAGGCCTCCCAGACATCACCTCACAAACCTGAGCCTCCCCAGCAGCCCCAGCTTCCCGAATGATGTGGGCACATCTGTCAGGCAGGAAGTTACCTACACCTGTCTGGGGCCTGTTTGTATTTCCAGAAGGGGCGCGCCCACTCCCACGGCAGAGGGCGGCCTGTAACTTGTCCTAGAGTCACCTCTTGCTCACCTCCGGGGGCCAGGAGAGAGCTGGAGACAAGGCTGACCCCTCAGCCTGGCCCCACTGTCTGTCAGCCTCCCTGACAATCCAGAGGTCCTGCGCGTGGGGGACTGGACGCCCACGGCCTCATGCCGGCTCAGCCCCTTTCTATCGCTGGAGCCCAGTGACGACAGAGCAGCCGCTCAGCTCTTCGCGCTGGATCTGAGTCCCGGCCGGGTCCCGGGCAGCAGGGATGCGTCACAGGTCCACTTCCCAGATGAGGAAACTGAGTCTCCGTGCTCTGGTGCCGTCCACCCAGACAGACGTGTCCCCGCCTTCCCCAGCGCCATGATGGCCAGATGCTGCTTCCAGTGGCTTGTCACTGGTGGGGGTTGTGGGCACACTCACATGTACTGTAGACACACGTACAAGCCACATGCGTGTGCTCGCCCCAGGAGGAGACAGAGCGCCCCGCAAACAGTGACTTCCCACCAGGCCCGTCTCCCGGCTCCACGAGGGGAAACACCCGGCAGGGGAAGGGAAGGTGCTGGGGGCCATGCCAGGGGCCTGGGGGAACAGTCTGGAAGCGGGCATCCCCAAGGTGGTGGTTTCCCTCCCCAGCCCTCCGCCATCCCCCCCAGCACCCCCCACGCCCCACAAGCACACCCCAGCTCCCGGGTCTGCGGCGGCCCATGGAAAATGGGAGGCAGCGGCGTGCTCCCAAGCAGGGAGGAGGCGAGGGGCCTGCCAAGCGCGTAAGGCCCACACGAACAGGCTACTCACTGTGGCCGCGCTGATTTATGAGGCTGTCCGGGAGCCCGGCCAAGTCTGTAAGTCATGGACAATTAGGAGGCGCGCTCCAGCCCTCAGCCCCATCCGCCTCGCGGACTCTAGGCCTGCTGTGCCACTCCAAGCAGGCTCAGCGCCATGGAGACCCCACCGTGCTGATGAGGACACTGAGGGCCGGGGCATCAGTGGCTGGCCCTGGCCTTCGGACCCTGGCTGCGGAAGTGGCTGTCCCCAGGGTCTCACTCCCCCTCCTAGTGGCATCTTCCTCCAGCTCAAAGGCTCACGTTGACATCTTGGTGGCTCTAGAAGGACCAGGGCATGAGTGCCCGGGAGGGGGACGAAAGGGAGGAGGCCACCCAGAATGGCCGCCCCTTCACCTCAAGACTAACAAGGAAGAGGGTCACGGTCTTCAGATCAAACAGTGACGCCCAGCCCAGGGTCTTCAGGCCTTAGAACCGGACAGTCATGGCACCTGGAGCCAGCAAGGACCTCCGAGGCCCTCCCAGACCCCCGGGGGCTCTGGACAGGACTCACCACCCACCAGGCCCTGATGAGGGATTAGGGAGCCAGAAGCCCTGAGTCTGCCTCCAGCGGGGGGCGAACATGGAGTCCTAGAGGTTAGCCGCCGGAGCGCCGGAGCGCCGGGGCGGTAGACCGTGCTGGAAGACCGAGAAATGCTTGGGGCCACCAGGCTCGCCCGCTGCTCGCTGCCCCTCCCCCCGCGCAGCTGGAGCTACAGAGGAGCTAAGTACCAGTTCATTTTCATTGATTTAAGTTCAAATTGATGCAGGGGCCGTGATGTAGGGTCCCCGGACACCTGGTTATGCATGAATTTCTGATAAAAAGTAATGATTTCGCCTGCGTAAATCTCATGGGGTATTTGGGGCGTGTTTACACGTGACGTGCTTACACTAAACCACGGCTCACTGTTGACCTGAAATTCGACTTTGACACAGTGCCCTGTATTTCATGGGACAACCCTCTCCCCGCGGCTACGGCCTGCGGCTATGGCTCGGGATGGCACGCCCGCCGGGAACTAAAGCAGCAGGGCAGCCCCCTGGACGTGTGGTTTGGGGCTCCTGAGTGACACCAAGTGACGTGGGCAGAGGGGCTGGGGCGTGCGGGACGCAGGAGCAGGGCGGTGTCCTCCCACTGCTGGATGCCGCTGAACCTGGGGGCCGCAGGAGACACGGGCCTCTCTGGGGCCAGCCCCAGGCTCCAGACCCTGCGGAGCACAGAGGGGACGCAGCCGATGGCCCTGCTGGAGCCCTCGTGTGCCCCGGGCCCAGGCACACACCACCTCCCGTGCACACACGTCGCGCGCACACACACGCACACTCGCGTGCGGGGCTCAGCTGGAGGGGGCGTGGCCCGCCTCCTCCGCGGCAAACGGAGAAGTGTTATAAACACTTACAACCTCGCAGACAAAACAGTGTATTGTGGGGGCCCCCGCATCTCCCCGGGAGCTGGGAGCCCGGCGCGGGCCGCGGGGCCGGGAGGAGCCAGCGGCCTGTGTGCTGGGAAGGAGGACAGTCTGTGCGCTCTGGCCTTTGTCCGCTGCTACCGACATTTCCTGTCTCTGTTCCTCGCTTCTTCAGTAAGACCATCTGAAACCCAAAACTTTTATTGCCCCTTTTAAAGAGGCTTTACAGCTCCCCATCTACCTCCTGGGGGCCGCCGGCGGGGCTGAGCTCTAGTCAGCGAAAGCCGGAATCCGCCCCGGGCTCGGCCGCAGGGGCTTGGCCCAGGACCCGCAGGAAGGCAACCGGGAGCTGCGGGAAGGAGCGCCAGGTATGTGGGCAAGACCGATTCTGCAGAGTCGGCGGAAGGCCCAGGGCGTAACCGGGGAGCCGGTCAGCCGCTTAAGAAAGCGAGCTGCTTAGCGGCCACGCCGGGCACGTGCCATCGCGGACGCCCCTCCCGGCACCGGGCCTGCGGCCCTGTCGGCCCATCTCCCCACCGGGTTTCCTCACCTCTGACCAGGGACAGCAGCCTTGCCTGCAGGCCCACTCCGGCCCATGGGGTAAACGGAGTCAAGGGCTGGCTAGACTGGTCTTGGGAAAGTAAAACAGACAGAAAGAGGAAGCAGGAGGCTGGGCTGGGAGGTCAGGTGCAGACACGAGGAAGGACCTCTCCCTCCGTGACCGCGTGCGGGCTCCCGGCCCCCTCCCGGCTCCCTCGGCCTCAGCGGCTTCCTCTGTAGCAGTGCCCACCCCACCCCACATGGTCGTTGCCAAGATTGAATGAGGTCACTGAGTACAAAGCACTTAGCACAGTATTGTATAAATGGCATTTTAAGAAATGGCATCGTTATTTCCATTACCAGTGGTCATGGACAAGCAAGAGGGTAGGGGGCAAACAAGCAAGGGGGTCCTTATCACCAAGAGACATTCACCCCAGATATGGCACCAAATGCCTCCATTTGCCAAGGAAACAAGTGTTTGTTATGGATCAAGGAAGTAAGCAAGGAAGGCTGCCTGGAAGAGGCAGGTTTGAATCTGAAACCAAAAAAGCAAAGTGGCCTGAGCCGTGGGAGCCTGCAGATGCCTGGCCCCTGAGCCTCGTCCATGACAGCTTCACCGTGCCACAGCTCCGAGTCCGCCCGTCTTCTGTGCCCCGAACCTCCCCTACCTCCTGCCTCCTTCCCATCAGAGCCACGAGAGAACCATGGCTGCCCTGACGGAGGGAAGGGTTCCGCGGCTGGGCTCTCCCTGCTTCCGACTCTGGCTTGTGATCCGGGCCAGAGGGAGCTAGATGGGTGTCGCCTGGCATGCTCAGGGTCCAAAGGTGGAGGGGGGAGGAGGCCACACTCCTGGGCTGCCCTCCTGCCCTCTCTCCAGGTCGGGGTGGGGGGTGCGGTCACCTGAGCACATGAACAGGACATCAGAGCAGTTGTGTGCTGGCCTTGGGGTGCAGCCTTGCACGAGAAAGGGCCATGGGATGGGTGCCCACAGTGGTCACCCACGCGAGCAGCTGTCTGAGCCTAGGGGCCTCTCAGGGAGCACCCCCCTTCCCCGGGAGCCACCCCCGGGCTCTGCCTTCCCACCTC